CAAGGGAAGTAACTCAAAAGAAAAGGGGAAAATAAAGATAAAACAAGACACAAGTGAGAAAGTTAAGGTCGATGAAAGACAAAAAAAAAAGCAACGAGATACATAAACCCCCCTCGGGAAGCTCACATACCTTAGAGTCGTGGAGGTGCCACAAATTAAACCACAAACATGTCTGGCCGTGACGCAACTCCACGGCAACCACCGCCAAGAACGACAAGAAAATCATTGAAACACAAATTGCAGAGGAAAAAAACAACAAAAAAAATAACACGGATGGTATCCCAAGGTGCATTGCGGTTAACTCGGACTAGGATTTCGTCTCGCTGGTTCCTTTCCTGTTTGGAGGCACATAAGGTTGTGAGAAAGGGCCACATGGCCAATCGCCGCGTCCAGCTCCATACGAAACGCCTCGACACACGCGCATGCCTCGAGAAAACATCGATGCTTCTTGAGCGCAAGAAGTAACCCGGGGTTCGGGAACTCCTCTTTGACGGTGTTCTTCACCCAGCAGAGCGACTTTCCAAGCTGAACAAACTGCGAATACAAGTACGTGCGAGTGTACAAGTGCGAGGCAGTGTCCTGCACGAGAGAAATAGGAGAAATGTCCTCAGCCGGACGTGCTTTGCCCGACCCCACCTCGACAGGCTCTGTTTTACTTCTCGCATTCGACGCAAAAGCAGCTGCTGCTGACGCGAGCGCAAACACCACATCCTCGTCGTGTTGGAGTCCCTCCTCAATGGCATCACGCAGCTTCATCAGGGCCTGGCGGAGTTGGCCGTGATCAGAGTCCATGAGCGTGTACAGAGCGCGAAAGTCAGGCAGGATGCAGATGGTGGACCACAGTTGCGTCAAGAGTGTGCATACACTAGAGGGAGCTGCCAGCATTTGAGAAGTCATCTCACAGAGGCGCCCCACAAGTGGTGATTGATGGACGCCGGTGTGAAACCAAATGTTATTGGGTGCACCGTTTGCAACCTTTTCGTCTGGTGAGGCGGAAGAAGTTGCTTGCAACGCACCCCCGCGGCCGCCGCCCTCAAGCACGGGGCCGGCAACGTCTTCTCCCACGCCCCTGCAGGAACGGTTAATGACGCTTTGCCGCTTCTCGAGCATGCACGCAGGGACGTGACTCTCCAGAAGCAGCAGACGTGCGAGGATGTCCTCTGCGACGGTCTCTGCGCTTGTGCCGAGCAGAATTCCCCTCGGAGCTCGTAAGCGTGCAGAAAAGCAGTCTGTGATGTCCAGAGGCGGAGACGTTGTGGCAGCGGAAAGGTCTACATCAAATGCAGGCTGTTGAAGGCAGTCAGCGTGTCGTGTCTTGCCTGTCGAAGTATTTGTCGCGGCAGCGCTACCCCCATCCTTGGTGGCAAGTGGCGTTTTGCTGGATGCAAGTTCCGGTTTGGATGGCGGACCGCGGCGGAGAACGCTTCCACGCACCTCGGCGAGGGTGGAGATGGACAGAGAAAGGGCAAAGTCCATAAAGAGCACCGGTTCCTGCACTGAGACGGCCTCCAGTAGGTAGAGGGTAACCTCCGTGCATCTCCAATCGCCATCGTCGCGCATCGCAAGACGCGGCAGCAAGGCGTAGTCTAACAGAGACACCGTGGAGGATGAGGCGGGGGGCACCTCGTCACGCGAAACAGGCAACAGCACCGGATCTCCCGTCAAAGGGTCAATACGTGCGCCTAGCACCGCGCGCGCTACGGCAGAAACGTAATGCGAAGACGCTCGCCCCACAAAACGCACCGTTTTGGCCGCCACAAGAGCCGCGGCGGCGTACACTGTGTCGTCTGCCGAGGATATCAGCGGTAGAAGCGTATCCCGCACAAAACTGCTCTCCATCACGGCCTCCACTTCCCAAGCCTCCGCCACCGCAGGGGACAACAGTAGCAGCTGCGACCAGAAACGCAATATGTCACAAAGGTAGGTGAGCTGTGCAACAGTGTCGTCGTTATACGGCACCTTACACAGAGTGAGAAGCGTCGTTCTGGCACCAATCAAGGTTGCTAAAGCCACTGCATTTTGCTTCTTAACATAATCCTGGACCTGTGGGTCAGGACACTTGGCAAGGCTAAGGAGTCCTCGCAAAGCCAGTTGATAAATTGTACGCCTTTTCTTTGACTGCACAGATCCCTGGCGAAATGTGGCATACACCAGCAGTTCCTGCAGAATGCTAAAATGAGGGCCCACAGTCGGGGGCGAATCGAACCCTCCCTCCGGGCCTGCCACGTCCTGTGCATCGTTCACAGCTTCGGGGACAAAAAACATCGCCAAGGCAGGGACAAGCTCCATCCGTTCCGTCAAAACACACAAGAGGTTAAGCAGTGCCTCGCGTTCCTCATCCATCGTTTCCGTGCTCAATTCTGGGGTGTGGGTCGGTGAGGACGTTCCCACAGTATCTGCTTCCCCCGCCGGTTTTGGTCGCACCTCCGCCACCACCCGACGCAGCATGTCCATCAGGGGCACAACCGTATTGCTAGGAAACATCTGCAGCAACGACCGCGGTGGGTCTCCCATGCATGGTGGCCGTGGAAGATCCGCCTCGGCGAGCACACGAGTCAAAAAGCGAAGTATAATGCCTCGAGTACCCGGTGGATCATTGTGTTTGGCAAACTGGCACAAGGATAACAGAAAGACATGCCCAATGGGGGCTAGCTCTTCCTCTGCCGCGGCGGTCCCCCCTGCCTGCGGCGTAGAGGATGGCTCTCCCCAAAGGAATGCATAGCACGGCGGCAACCACGACACCTCACCGGTGTCGGTTTTGTTTCTGAAATTATTGCTGCCGCTACTACTGTGGTTCAGGGAACTCGGTCCCCGCGGTGGCACGGGGACGTCACTCCTGCTACTGACGCTGCTTGCACTGTACACGTCCACCGCTCGGTGCGGCGGCGCAAACCTGGGGATCAGCATCTGTGGCCGCTCTTGCATAAGCGACTTCCGTATTACTTCCAACGAGCGCGCTACCTGCGGCAGCCGGCCTGCAAGTTCCGCCAGTGCCACGCCATCCGCTGCGGCCTGCACCTCCATGAAGTACGCACGTATGCTGACCCACTCGTCACCCACGAGCGAAACTGCGGAGAGCGAGGCGGACTCCGCGGCGCCGAAAGCAGCGCTCACGCACGTCTGCTCCATTCTTGGGAACGAAGAAGTGTGAAATAGGCGCAGGAGGGGGAAAAAAAAGAAGTTGCAGAAACTAGAAAGGAAACGGGCAAAAAAAAAACCCTACTGGAGCGTCAACAACTTTATTTAAACAGCCAGGGGCAGCATCAAAGGCCACTCTGTTTACTTTACCGTACTCAATCCGCCAATGCAGTCAAAGCCTAATTGATTTTTCTAGTAAAAGGACAATGCATGCGTACGCACACGCACACGTACGTGTATGTGTGTATGCATGTTTGTGTGTGCATGTGTACGCGTTAGGTGGGAAGCCGGAAGGCGAGCAAACCAAAAGGAAGGAAGCAAAGAGAAGGCGACAGTGAATAATGTACATGTTACCAAAAGAAACGAAGCATCCATGCATGCAACTTGGATCACAGGGAGGAGAGCGACCACCACACCTACTCCTCTGCGTGGTGGTTCGCATTAGGCACTGCTGTGTTGTCGCTTGTTAACAGGGAAAGAGAAAAACAGAAAAAAAATCTGTGTTAAACGGTTGTGTCTCCACACTAAGAAAACAAAAATGACAGAGGGCCCCTTCCAATCACACAACGATGGTGAATTTTCTCCGTTAACCCTCCTTTTCCTCCTCTTCTTCCTTCTTCTCCTCTTCCTCTTCCTCTTCCTCTTCCTCTTCCCCGCATTCCTCACTATCGTAGAAAAACTGGACCTTGTGGCGAATGTTGTTTCGATTGGGGTTCAGGTCCCCCCGCTCCTCGTGCTCCTCAGCCCCCACGGCATCGGCAGAATCTTTCGAACAGCCCTCCTCCCCCACTTTGGTCAGCATGGAGGTTGTCGTGGGCGTCGTCTTTGCATACTGCGGCAGCTGCTCCACGGTGCGCCTGCACGCCTCTACCTTTTCCTGCGCCGCGGCCAAGCGCCGTTGCCACTCGGGGTTCTCGCGGAAAAACGCCTTCAGTTGATCGGGCGATGGCTTGAAGGCGACGGTGGCGCCGTCCGCCACCACAATGACGTCCTTCACCGCGAGCCAAATCACCTTGCGGAACTTCCCAGGGACAAAGACGACGCACTCCGCCGGCAACGTGACGCCAGTGTCGTCGACGGCCCCGTTAAAGCTGCCGGTGGGGGCGTCGCCCGCGCCGCTGGAATCGAAGAGGAGGACGCGCACATGTTGGCCCTGCGGGGACTCGACGCACACCGCCATCGACTCACCGGCCGCCGGCCCCCTCCATCCGTCGGCGTCGAGAAACTGCCGCGTAAGGTGCTTCGCGCGGTGCTTCCTGCCGCACCCGCTCATTCTCCTCCTTCCTCCGCCCTCCCCTCTCCCTGCGGCCCCCCGCGATGCACCCGGGCGTCGTGGCGTGCAGGCCGCGGAGGCAGAAAAGCGAGGCACACGAAGAGCAAAGAAGAAGGAAACAAAAAAAAAGTGATTCGGGGCGGAAAGAAATCCGCTGGGACCCCGCCAGCAAACACGCCCAAGAAAAGCAAGCACGCAGGGGTTGTGTTTGAAGAAAGAAAAAAAAGAACAGAAAAAAGAGAAGGTTAACACAAGATCACTCAAACAAATAAAAAATATATATAAATAAGGTCACACAAGCCACATGAGCACCCACACACACCCAGCCACCTTTAGCCGCCCTCGTTATTTTTTTTGTTTGTATTCGGTTCCTACGCATCCAGATGCCCCAACCCCAAGCGAGAGCCCCTCTCACGCCCACGCACGCACGCACGCACGCACACACCGGTCAAGCAACAAGGCGCGGGGCACATGAAAAGAAAGAAAAAGAACTCGAAGTGCGTGCAATAGGCTCAAAGCATCCATGTGGAAAGAAACTAGAAAGAACTGTGGGAGTCAGGCTTGAGAAGGCAGAAAGATGAACGACCTCCAGAGCACCTTTCCCTGCCCACGCCACAACCCTTGTGACACCTCAAGACACTTCCCAGAGAAGTATGCATCTGACACCCACAGCGTCTCTACTTCCTTCGTCTTTAAGTGTTTTGCATCGCAACGCGAAGCCACATAAAATCCAAGAGGAAGTGGCATCATATAAAAACGAATACACACGTAAGTGCGCGCTCAGCTGTGCACGCATGTTTAAATACCGTCATTGCAGGAGCCCGGTAAGCCGCAAGACCAGGACCGAGGCAATTGTGTCAATGGCACTTCCTCATTGTAAACTCCTCTCTTTCCATTGATTTTTTTTCTTTTTGTTTCGTTTTCTTTTGCTTTGTTTCTTCTTTCGTCGTCTTTTCGGTCATAGCCCATTTGGTGTCCCACGACTCGCCCCGAGTTTCTCACTCACCCACACCCCGCCGCTCATTCTCCTTCGGTTTTCACATTAGACAACTTCAATGCCCGCAAATAAAAGAAGGGGCAGCGGCGCAAACAGCCTCGGGGGGCGGAGACCGCAGTCGCGGTGGCGGCCTACAGGAGGGGAAGAACGGAAATACGGTGATAATAGAAAGGGAAAGGAAAAAGCCCTGGGCACGAAGAAATGAAGAAAAAAAAACACACACCCGCACACGAAGCCTCTCAGACAACGTAGACAAAGCCCCTCTATACAGCACACACACACACACACAACGGCACATAATAATAACACTAAAACGTGAGAATGGCTAGGGGGCCGGGACACAGAGGCAGAAGCAGGCATAGAAACACAAGTAAGGACGAAAAAACTACACTGAAGTCCAGTACGGCGGCACTGTGGAAGGAGCTGCCGGTGAACAAACATCTACAACGGATCAGAAAAGGAGGGTAACGAAAATCAGGCCAGAGTCATTGCACGAGGATACATCGGTTGACATCACAGAGGCGTGTCCATGCGCGTGTCAAGCTCACTTACCGCTTGATACGCACCTTCCCCTACCCACAAATGATTACACGTCTACAGAGAGGGAGGCAGTAAAACATGTTGCGGGAGAAAAAGACATTCATTTCAACACACTTCCCCCAAAGTTTTGCGTTACTTTCGGGCGTCGTTTCTTTCTTTTTTTATTTTCTAATTATTATTATTTTTATCATCACCATTATAAGACTCCTCGTTTTACCTATTCGCTCTTGTTTGGCTCCATTTGTCGCTGGTCTCAGAGTTCCGTCGCACACTCCCCAGGAAAAGAAAAGTAAAAATAAAAACAAAGCCTTTGCAGTTTATGTTTTTCTTTTTGTTCTCCATCTTT